TCCTCTAATGTCTGATGTCTACCCGACTTGGAATAGCTACATCTGGAATATTTTTTTGATAAAGACTTATATTTTATAAATTGATCGAGCTTAGGTTCTAGTCAATATAATTTTTTGGCCCCTCTTGAAGGGTGTCACAAATCTGGTTGCGAGTTGAGAAATGCTGAACAAGATCTAGTGCGATAACGCTGACAAAATCAGTTCATTATGTCAAAATTTAAGCAAGCGACAAGTTTTTGTAGAGATCTTTAAGTGTATTGATGAATACGGGAACAGTCTTTTTTGTCTTTTATTGGCAGATTGCGAGTACTGCACTTTGGATTTACTTTCTCCAATTTCCTGCACATCTGCTTTCTTACACTAGATTCAGTAGAACTTTCTAGCGTACTCGATGGAAGTGACGGAGTGATCAAATTTGCTAATGGTAACAACGTGAGTCTGTCGCTGGCATTGGAGTCGCAAACAAGAGAACGGGACAGTGCACGCATTCATACCACAACCATCAGCGACTACAAAGGAGATGTATGTCTCTGTTACTTTCCATGTTTCACACTTTTGTTCTTATTTGCATAGACTCCATTTCATTTGTCAGATACGTGCTCTGAAAGGACGCTTTTTGGCAGTGCAAGGAGATCTTATTGCTTTTCGTTTCTTTAACGAGAACACGGGTGATGTGATTCGCATAATCAACAGAGTATCGCGAAATCGTCGTCTTATCAAAGTATATATCGTACTACATGAAGTTTTTGTTTTTTGTTTCCATCGGCCGTTCTTCTCTTTATAGGGTTTTTCCAAAGCTCCTGTAGACCTTCGATTCGCTACTCATCTTCCTCTTCTTGCTGTTGTAGATGGCGAATCAAATCTCCATGTCTACTCAGTAACTGCAGATTGTCAGGATGTGTGAGTTTGCTTTCGAGTTTAAATTAATTTCTTACATCTATGTACGTTGCATATATAGACTTTTTCTTTGATTTTAGAGAAACATACATCACGATTATGAACTGGCCCGATGGAAGCTCAGATAGTACTCCGCGCGTTGTGTGGTGCCCTTATGTAGCCGAAAATCCTTCTGACCCATCGGATGTGGTCAACATGGTAGCCTTGTTCAAGGTAGCCTACAACTGTCTCCTCTGGAAGTTTAACATAGAAACAGATTCTCCATTTCTACATTTTTATTGCTTATTCTTTCAGAAAAACAAAGTGTACGTTGTCAATCTGAGCATACTGAAGGAGCGCGGGTCGCGAATGACGTTCGAAGAAGCATTGGCAGTAGAGGAAGCTATTCTTTCTGTTGAAATGGAAGAGGTTATTCTGCGCTTGCTTTTTTCCTACTTTACCTTTGAATAAAATGTGTACTCAGTGTCAACAT